TTGATTAATGAGATGCCGTGTCGAACGTTCTTTTTGAAGTCCAAGGCGGGGGAGCTGAAACTCTCCCTGGACGATGGCGAGCGTCACCAGATGGTCATATATGTTAAACTGTCGCCCGAATTTTGCCCGAGCAGGAGGTCGCATCACATCCAAGATGGTTTACAGTCTGTTGTATAGCAGTCGCAGGAATAGCTCGTACATAAGTGGAATCAAGGAGATCGATAGATAGTTATCCGGGGACGAAAAGTATATATCCTGATTCGAAAATGGCGCGAATCTGCGTGTGTACACTGCTGCGGCGTCGTACCTTCTGGCACTATGACCTATGACGTTGAAAGGCTTCAACATCGCCTGCGTGAGGAACTCGCCTCAGTACTTAAGCATTTCCGCTGCTATACCGCTGGTATAGAGCCTTTCCGTTTTTCAACTGCCGCAAAGCACGCCAATTTCCTCTGAATTGACAGCCTGTACTGTCCACTTCGATGCTGCGCTTCGAGTTACGGTCCGCCCCCCCGAGTGACTATACAAAACTTCGTAGAAATCTGCTACATACGTCCTTGCTGTCGTGGTCTGGTTGTCCAGAATGTGACTGCATATAGATGGGATCATGTATGACTTCTTGACGGTCTGGGTCTGGGTGATCTCGTTCAAACCCTGGGACTCATCAAGAATAGCCACGATTTTTCTGCGAATGCCCCTCTTGCAAAGATCACGTACATCTCGCCAGATCTGCTTGCTGAGTTGTCGTCGCAGTGCCGTGTCTGCGCTGCGAAGCTGCTAGCGCTGAAGAAGTACGCTGTTCAGTTCGCCATGTTGCCGCTGCGGTGGTTTTGATTGTCCTCCCTCAGGTGCTGCTCCCTGAACTCCCATGCATTGCGCGATCGATTTCTCTATGAAGTCGCATCGGGACTGTACTCCAAATTTCGTAATAAAGAGAGGGGGGTCTCATTTCGGGGGGGGGTCTCTTCCAGGCCATCTTGGAGGGCCTGGGGGGGTCTGGGGACGCTGTTTTGGAGGGTTCTCCCAGGGGGGGGGGTCTAAAACTTCTCGTCTGGGAGGGTTGAGGCCCCCTCCCTTTTATTACGAAGTCTGGAATATCCACGCATCGTCGCTGGACCTCCCAGGAGCCCACCAAAGTGACGCCCAATTGCCCAGTTGCAATGTCGTGAGACCCAGTCTCGGAGCAGGAGAGACGCAGGCAGGAGGCAGGGAGGCGAGGGGAGGGGGAGGGGGAGGAGGAGGAGGAGGAGGGGGAGGAGGAGGAGGAGGAGGGGGAGGAGGAGGAGGAGGAGGAGGAGGAGGAGGAGGGGGAGGAGGAGGAGGAGGCGAGAGGTAGGAGGCAGGGAAGGAGACGCGCGAGCAGTCCTCCTTTCAAGACGAAAAACCCAACGCAGGAGGGCTGGGAAAAACCTAGCGTCATCTATCCTCGACCGTCGCACCTTTTGACCCTCTGGGGCACCTGGGCGTCCGAGGACACCACCACGAGGTCCCCTCTTTTTTTTTTGGGGGGGGGGGGGGGACCGGGCGGAACGGCTCGAGCCCACGCTGGGATCCCGCAGCGCAGCACTCTGCCGCGCGGGAGCACCCTCACCACGGCCCGAAGAAGCCGTTCGCGTTCGCGAGCACCGAGCCGAAGAAGAGAATGGTGATCGAGATCACGTAGTTGTTCCCGCCCACGTCCCCCAAGCTGAAGCCCGCGGGCGGCGGAGGGGTGGTCGTCACCGGCGGTCCTGGACCAAAGACGAACGGCACCACCCCACCTGCGGCCCCACGGGGCTCGGCGCATACCAGGAAGCCTGGCGTGGGCGCTTGCGTGGTATGCGCTGCGGCCCCCAATGGGCCGTAGCGCAGCATGGAGGGCCGCAGGTGGGGTGGTGTCGCTCGGCATTTGGGTCGATCTCCGCCGAAGAACTGCATCTCCACCGAGGGGGCGCGCTGGCCCGCGCGGAGCCCCGCCGGGGAGGCGCCGACGAAGGACAGCGCGAGGGAGCCCACCAGCAAGGCGGCAGCGGCCGCGACGGCGCAGGCCAGCAGCAGGGACGCGGAGCGGGCCATCGCGGGGCCTGCGGGGGGTCTGCCGAGGGGCGGGGGGCGTGCGGGCGGTGCCGCGAGGGTTCTTCGGCGCTGAACGGCTTGAGCCACAAGGGTTTCGGGCGAGGAGGAGCCGCTCTTGAGTCGTGGCAGGCTTTGAAGTCAGGCCTGGCTCCGAGGAACAATGATCGATCTGCTATGGGGACACGTGCTCACTGAAACCGGATACGACCTCGAACAAAGCATGCGTCTAAACAATTCTCGTCATGTCATCACTTGCGAAATCGGGTCCAGCAAGGCTTGGGGCTGCGGCATGGGCCGCTTCTCCCAGACCCCTGAAGTCATGATTTGTGTCATAACGGCGACCCCAACTGAAGTCCCGACCAACTCGCTGGGGCCAATGTTTCGTCCTGAGTCGCTTTGTTGACGGTCCCGAGGGCAGGGAAGGGCCCCCAGAGACCGAAACTACAGGGAAGCTGGAAAAAGTGGAAGTTCGAATCAGTGAAAGTGGAAGTGGCCAGGGCTGGAAACACTGGCAGAGGACGAAGCGAGCCCGAAACGGCAGGGATGCGGTCGCCAGGGCTGGACAAAAATGAAGGGAAACTGGCCAGGGCTGGAAGAAATGGAAGAGCTGGCCCCAGTCACTTCTTCCAGCTTCCGCGTGGCGAAAAACCTCCCGTCGTGAGGATTGCTTGATTGCTGGTCTTCACGACCAGGCATGGCCGCGAGGATTGCTTGATTGCTTGATTTGGATTTGTGGGGGGGGGAGGAGGAGGAGGAGGAGGAGGAGGAGGAGGAGGAGGAGGAGGAGGAGGAGGAGGAGGAGGAGGAGGAGGAGGAGGAGCGGAGAGCAGGAGGAGACGAGGTGGCGGAGGGAGAACGAGGAGGAGGACAAGGAGGAGGAAGCGGAGGAGGCGGAAGGGGAAAGGAGGAGGAGGCGGAGGAGGAGGAGGGAGGAGGAGGAGGAGGAGGAGGAGGAGGAGGAGGAGGAGGAGGAGGAGGAGGAGGAGGGGAGGAGGGGGGAGGAGGGGGAGGAGGGGAAAGGGGAGGGGAGGGGAGGGAGGCGGAGGGGGAGGGGGCTGCGGAGGAGGCGGAGGCGGAGGAGGAGGAGGAGGAGGAGGAGGAGGAGGAGGAGGAGCAGGAGGAGGAGGAGGAGGAGGGGTGAGGAGGAGAAGCGGAGCGGAGGAGGAGGAGGAGGATGGAGGAGGAGGAGGAGGAGGAGGCGGGAGGAGGAGGAGGAGGAGGAGGGGAGGAGGAGGAGGAGGACGAGGGAGGAGGAGGGGAGGAGGAGGAGGAGGAGGAGCGAGGGCGAGCGAGGAGGAGGAGGAGGAGGAGGAGTGAGGGAGGATGAGGGACGGAAGAAGGTTACGACGACAACGCGGAGGAGGAGGAGGCGGAAGAGGAGGAGCAGGAGGAGGAGGAGGAGGAGCAGGAGGAGGAGGAGGAGGAGCAGCAGGAGGAGGAGGAGGAGGCGGGGGGGGACAGGGCTGGGAGTGGGGCGGGCAGTCCGGGCGGGAGGGCGCGCCCGCAGAAGCGCGCGGCGAGGGGGGGCTCGCCCGCAGGGGCAGGCGGGCACCCTCTGGAGAGGGCCCCCCGGGGGCGCCCGAGGCCCTCGAGGGGGAGAAGACGACGGCAGGACGACGAGTGCGGGCTGGACCTAAACTTGCGGATGCCATGACAATGGACACTCTAACAATCCTATATTTGAATGAAAGCTGTGTTCAAAAAGGTAAAACCAGTTCTAGACATGTGTCACACATGTTTTCAAATCATGCTTGAAACATACCTGACATCTGGAAATTATTTGGCAGCATGCCTCCTCTCCATTAATCGACTTCCACAATCGTAAACGCTGTGTGTCGTTTTGTTTTCGTTCTGCTCTTCGTTCTGCTCAGCCTGTTGTCCTGTGCCTCCCTGCCAAGACGAGAAACAAAACACAGCCGAAATCCAGCAAAACAGCGTTTAGGTCCAGCCCTGACGAGTGCTTTGGGCATCGCTTCATTTGGGCATCGCTTCATGGGGGGGGGGGGGGGGGGGGCGATAGTAGAGCCCTGGCGATGGTGGCCCGAGCAGATGGGGTCGGAGGATCGCGCCACATCGCCAATGCATCGGCGACGTCGGCGACGCATCGGTGACGCCAGCGTGGAGAAAATCGGGCTCCCCATCGAGCCACATCGCCGATGCATCGCCGATGCAGCGCGATCCTGCGACCACATCTGCTCCGACCCCAAGAAGAGGATGAGCTCCGGACGAGGAGGAGGACGAGGAGGAGGAGGCGGAGGAGGAGAAGGAGGAAGAGGAGGAGGAGGAGGAGGAGGAGGAGGAGGAGGAGGCGGAGGAGGAGGAGGAGGAGGAGGAGGAGGAGGAGCGGGAGCAGGAGGAGGAGGAGGAGGAGGACTAGGAGGAGGAGGAGGAGCGGGAGCAGGAGCAGGAGGAGGAGAAGGAGGAGGAGGAGGAGGAGGAGCGGGAGGAGGAGGAGGAGGAGGACGACGACGACGATCTGGGAGGCCTGGGGCTGAGGGGGGGACAGGCACGCACGGTCGCGAGGAGAGGCCAGCCCCCTGCCCTGGGTGCTCCGTGCCGGGCCTCCGACTTCGGGGTCCCCGACGATGACGGCGACGACTGCTGCGACCGTGGGCACGACCACGACGAGGACGAGCACGACAGAGCGACAGAAGCGACGGCGGCGACGGCGGCGACGACGACGAAGAGGACGACGACGAAAACGACGACGGCGACGACGACGACGATGAGCACGACAACGGCGGCGACGACTGCGACGACTGCGACGACGACGACGACGAAAAGAAAGACGGAAAAAACCGGTAATACGAAAACTATCAACAACTAGACATACGACGACGAAAAATACAAGCACGACGACGACGAAAAAGACTTGATCAATACGGAAAAAACTAAAACTCCAAACGACTGAAAAGACGACGAACACGAGGACCCGCCCGCAGCGCCTCGAGCTCGAATCTCGCCACGCCTGCGGCGATCAGCGCGGCGGCCTTCGCGCGGGCGCCCGCGCGGGCGCGCGCAAGGGCGCCGCGAGGGAGGCGCAAAAGCGCCGAGAGGGCACCGCGGGCGGGCGCCATGATGGTCGCCGCGAGGGCGCCGCGGGAGGGCGCTGGGAGTCCTCCTCCTCCTCCTCCTCCTCCTCCTCCTCCTCCTCCTCCTCCTCCTCCCCCGCCACCTCCACCTCCCCCGCCACCTCCACCTCCCCCCCCCTCCTCCTCCCATCCTCCTCCGTCTCCTCCTTCTCTTCCTCCTCCGCCCTCCTCCTCCTCCTGCTACCTCCTCCATCTCATCATCCTACGCATACTCATCCTCCTCATACCTCCTTCACACCTCCTCCTCATCATCGCATCTCCTCCCTACCGTCCTCATGCTCCTCCTCCGACTCCTCCTAATCATCCTCCTCATCCTCCTCACTCCTCCTCCTAACTCCTCAGCATCCTCCTCCCTCATAATCCTCCTCCTCCTACTCAGCCCTCCATCATCCCTCCTCTCCTCCTCCTCCTCCTCATCCTCCTCCCTTCCTCTCTCCTCTCCTCCTCATACCTCCTCCCTCCTCCTCCTACTCCTCCTACCTCCCCTCCCCTCCCCCTCCCCCTCCCCCTCCCCTCCCCCTCCCCCTCCTCATCCTCCCTCCTCCCCCTCCCCCCTACTCCCTCCTCCCTCCTCCTCCTCCCTACTCCTCCTCCTCATCCTCCTTTCCTCCTCCTCCTCCTCCTCCTCCTCCTCCTACTCTCCTCCTCCCCCCCTCCTCCTCCTCCTCCTCCTCCTCCTCCTCCTCCTCCTCCTCCTCCTCCTCCTCCTCCTTTTCCTCCTCCTGGTCTTCGTCCTCCTCGTCCCCCTCTTCAGCGGCGGGGACGGCGGGAGGCACAGAGGCCTGACGATGCGAGAAGGAGGCCGACTGCAAAACTGATGCAATCCACGAGGGAGCGGTCGCGAGCGGAACACGGAAGATCTGCGCCTGTGAGGGGCTGGCCGTGCGCGGCCGATGCTGAATCCCACCAGCCCTCTGGGCGTAGGTGGTCTAGGGCGGCTCCTGTTTCAACCCCCTCCTTCCCCTTCGGGGAGGGGTTTATCACTGTCCCCTATGAATAAACACCCCCTCCCCCAGGCGACTGGTAGCCAACCAGGAACCATGGGGGTACCCCTCACCATCCCTTGTTTTGTGTATGTATATATATATATATACACACTCTGCCTATAAATTCGGAGCATGCGCAGCCAACCCGATGCGGCCTCCCCCCATCATCCCTGTCAAAAACAATACAGAGTACACTTGGCGGCGGCGGCGGCGGTTGCGGCGGCTGCGGCGGCTGTGGCGGCGGCGGCGGCGGCGGCGGCGGCGGTGGCGGCGGCGGCGGCGGCGGTGGCGGCGGCGGGCGCCGGGGGGGCGGCGCCGCGGCGGCGGCGCGCGCCGGGCGGCGGCGCGCGGCGGCGGCGGGCAGCGGCGGCGGCGGCGGCGGAGGCGGCGACGGCGGAGGCGGCGGCAGCGGCGGCGGCGGCGGCGGCGGCGGCGGCGGATTGGCCCCCAGTAGCTGCCCATCCCAAGACGACTGCTGAATATGCTGAGGCTCGGGCCAGACTCGGGTACTACGTATGTGTTGGGAGGGCGGGTGGGAGTGAGCGAGACGGCTTGCGGTCGGGGAGGGAGCCTTGACCCCTCCCCCTACCCCCTACCCTGGACCTGGACGGGGCCGGTCGCGGGTAGCTAGAACCCCATGAGGGACCGAACGAGCGGCATGTGGAAGATCCACGCCCGTGAAGTGCTGGCCGTGCACGGCCGATGCAGAGTTGGCGCACCCTGAAAATGATGTCCCATGGAACCTACGAAAAAAGGCGAAGAATGCTTCGTAGAGCTGCGGAGCATGCTGCGCATGTCGCGCAGCTTCGGCGGAACAACTGCGGGCAGATCAATTCTGTAGCCGATGGCCTACTCGAACGATGGAAACTGCCAGCTTCCCAGCCTGTGGGACAGGGACTCCGCCGTGCCGAAGGGGCCGAGAGGGGGCAGCGGGGAAGGGGCTCCACACGGGCGCCGGGGCGGCCGCGAAGGCGGCGCGGGACGGCAGCGGCGATGGGCGGCGGCGGCGGCGCCGACGCCCGCAAGGGGCGCGGGGGGCGGCGGGCGCGCGGCCGTGGTGAAGAGCGCCCGCCAGACGCCAGGGCCGTCCCTGGCACGGCACAGGAGGGAGGAGGATGGATGGGGAAGGAGGGGGAGGAGAAGGAGGAGGAGGAGGAGGACCAAAGAAACCCAAGACCCATCAACGATGTTGGAATAGACTCTCCCTCCAGGCTCCCTCTTCACAGGACCCTACAAGAGTTCATTCCGCTTAGGGAAATGCTCTGTTGAGAGACAGCCGCTGGAAGATCCTGAAGCGTGCCAAAACACCATTCTCGGAACTTCAACGCCACGAATTAACTTGATTGTTGCGCCGTGACGATGCCGAATCGTGCCAGAACAGCATTCCTGGGACTTCAACAGCACCAATCAACGTGACTCTTCCGCCCTGACAATCCTGCATCATCCCAAAACGTCATTTCTTGCACGTCAACCATGGGAAAAAAAACGCATTTAGAAAAAAAAAACGCCCTCAATCCGTGAAACAATCGTGACTGTGCAAAACTCATATGCGTGACGCTAGAGCGAAAACCACATTTCGCAAACGACCACCCTCAATCCGTGAAAATCTTGCGTTGTTGTTCAAAGAATGCGCGCGGCGCTAAAGCGAGAGCCACATTTTGGAAGCGGCCCGCCCTCCATCCGTGAAACTGCCGTCAGTTGTTGAGCTTCAGGAGCACACTCGGGAGTCTCAAGCGAAACGCCCGGTCCGCCCTTCCGACCGACGTCAGGGTGCGAAAGGGAGGAATTTCTTGTAAGGAAAAGAGAAGCGAACGACGGATCCGCGCGCGCCGCGTCGGCGCCCGCGCGCGGAGGAGGAGGAGGAGGAGGAGGAGGCAGGGGAAGCAAAAGAGGAGGAAGAGAAAGAAGAGGAGGAAGAAGAGGAAGAAGAGGAAGAGGAGGAGGAGGAAGAATAACAAGAAGAGGAGGACAACGACAACGATGACGACGAGTTGTGGATTGAGGGGGCGGTGCACGAGGACGGGGACGAGTAGGGGCAGTGAGGCCGCAGGCGCTACCGGCGGCGCTGCTGGCGGCATCGCCGCGGGCGCCACCCGTCACAGGAAGCGCCGCCCCTCGGATGCTGCAGTCACACAAACCTTGGAGTACCATGTGGGATCTGTTCTAGAGCAGGAAGACACCGTGGACGGATCGACCCTTCCTCCGACCTTGCGCCACGCCGAACGCAACGGCCGCGTTGTCCATAGACGTATCCACCATGGAAGTGTCGATGGATGTCACGGCACACCCAATGTGTCCATAGACGCTTTTGGCTAGGACGTGAAAATGGTATTTGGCATCGGTCCCAGATGTTGGCCGTCTAGAAGCGGGTAGGTTTTGCCCTCCAACACAAAACATACTTCGACGATCCGAAAGATTCCCCGACCTTGCTGCGGTGCATCTCGGGACCATGTGAGCCGGCGCGAATCTACTGCGTGGCCTTCAACATGCCCAGTACTCCAATCCGAGATTCATTCCTGTTTAGCAGATTCGCCTGTCTCCGATTTCAACAGCGTTCCACACGGCCCCAGAGGCTCCGCAGATCGCACCCATACGACCCAACAGGCCCCCAAGAGGGACCCAAGAGGACCCCGAGACGGCCCAAGAGGCGCCCAAGACGGCACGACCCGAGAGGGCCCCAAGGAGGCCCCAACAGGGGCCCAACAGAGAGAGGCGAGCCGACTTTTCGAGCCCCCCGCCCACGCAGGGAAGTCCGAGACCCGAGCGCCTCTGGCCGCGCGTTCGGGGGGGGCACGGTCCCTGTCAAGTAACACCGTGTGGGCCACTCGCGCACGTCGGGCGCGCGCGCGCATGTCGAAACCCTTTCAGGACATCCTCATCACCGGCACGTGGACACCATCATCGCCACCGGCGTGATCCGCATCCGCGCCATCACTGGCTGGGCCGTGGTCATTGTCATCATCGACACCAGCATCACCACTATCATCATCGTGTCAGCCGTTGACGACGTCACCACGATACCGCGCCCGCCCGAATCACCGACTCGCACCGAAGTGCCTGCGCGTCAGCGCGGAGACGCGCTGGGAAGTCCCCAACCGTCATCGCCATCGCGGCCGCGTCGGTCGCGCCAGACTAGCTTGCCGCTCTGCGCGAGCCTGCGCGCGTTCGCGCGGCCGCAGCGACGCGCCAGCCAGCGCAAAGCAGTCATCGTTATCGCCGACGCACGAGTTTTGCAAACCAAGTTGCAGGTGGGTGGGAGGGATGATTGTGCGAGCATTGGAGTGGACAACTTCAAGATTAGCAGGGTCAATTGCACCGCATGTATTAAACACATCGACTGTTCAAGATAAGTTGCACAGCATCAAGTCCTAGAAACATTATGCTTGTGGCTCACGCTGGCTAACATGCGATTCTTCACAATCCAAGTCCACCAATAATTGTAAGGCTGCTCGCTCTTATCTGTAGGTCGGGCATGTCCCCCTACAGGCGGATTTTGGAGGACAAATGAAAAATATTCAAACATGTCCCAAAATGGTCAAAAAACGATCGTCCCCAGGCTATTCTTAGACTATTTCTGAACATTCCTCCTGTAGAGGGACAGGCAAGAATTAATATTATCTGCTCGCGCGTCACTCAACATCTAAATCCCAAACACTCGATACCCATCCTCTTCGTCTTCGATCACAGACCCATTGGTAGTATGTGTATTGCATGCTACGTGTAGTTGCCGCAGCCCCTGACACAGGGGAAGGGAGGGAGCAAGTAAGGGGTAAGGTGGATGGAGCAGGATGGAGCGCGAGAGAAATTAGCAAGAAATGGGCAAGTACAGCGAAATACACATAACCAAAAATAGCATCACCAAGATCAAGATCAACATCAACAACAACGTCATCATCTGCATCGTCAACACCAACTCCACAACCACCACTATCAACATCGCCAACTCCACCACCACCACCACCACCACCACCACCATCATCATCATCATCATCATCATCATCATCATCATCATCATCATCATCATCATCATCATCATCATCATCATCATCATCATCGTCATCACCATTATCATCATCATCAGCAGCAGCAGCAGCATCAGCATCAGATTCAGCATCAGCATCATCATCAACACCATCGCCCTGCTCATCCCACTCCCTCCTCGGCCTCCTCATGGCATCTCGTTCTCTCTTTCTCTCTGATGCTCCTCCTCCTCCTCCTCCTCCTCCTCCTCCTCCTCCTCCTCCTCCTCCTCCTCCTCCTCCTCCTCCTCCTCCTCCTCCTCCTCCTCCCCCTCCGCTCCCGGCCTCCTCCCAGCCCGGTCCTACTGTCCTCCCCAACTCTCCCCAGTGCTCCGCACCACACCGCGTGCAGGGGTGGCTCGCCATGCACTGATCAGCCCGGTGGCCAGCGCGAGCAGAGCTAGCAGCACCTGGGGGCGCGGGAGGAGACGCTTACTCCAGATTTCGTAATAAAGGGAGGGGGGTCTCATTTCGGGGGGGGGGTCTCTTCCAGGCTATCTTGGAGGGCCTGGGGGGTCTGGGGACGATGTTTTGGAGGGTTCTCCCAAGGGGGAGGTCTGAAATAACTTGTCTTGGAGGGTCCAGACCCCCTCCCTTTTATTACGAAATCTGGAGCATTGGGAGTTGGACACAGACGTGGCATCTAGCGCCCCGAATCGGGCACTCCGTGGCGCTGGGCGGCGCCAAACTGGGGGGGAGGAAGGGGCAGCAGAGGGGAGGAGGGAGGAGGGAGAGGAAGGGAGGAAGGGAGAAGGGAGGAGGGAGAGGGGGGGAGGGGAGGGAGGGAGGAACTGAGGAGGGGGGGAGGAAGGGAGGAGGGAGGGAGGGAGGAACTGAGGAACTGAGAAGAGGAGGGAGGAACTGAGGAGGGGGGGAGGAAGGGAGGAGGGAGAGGGGGCGGGAGGAGAGGAAGGAGCAGAGGGGACGGGAGAACTCGAAGCTCGGACCTCGGATGTCCTCGAACGTCCGCCGGGGGCGGCATCTGCCGGGGGCTGTGCGGGACGCGAGACCGCCTGCAGACCAGGAGAGCCCGAAGCTCGGGCATCTAAACAAGTCTCGTCTGAGTCCCGGGGGAAAACAAACCTACCTCGCTTTTGACCACCCTCGCTTCCAAGAGATACCAAACGATGCCAAATTGCGGCCTGTACTGGTCAGGCCGCTTGACGAGGAGGCGCGTGGTATGGCTTGGTTTTGCCTGGAAGCGAAAGCGGGGGAGGTAATTCACGCTCTGAGAGTCCCAGGCCCTCGAGGGCGCTAAATTGGATGGTTGAACGAGATCGTTGTTCCAACCCCCCTCGTCCCCCTCGGCGAGGGGTTTGCCACTCCCCCGCGCACACGCCGCAAGACTCCCCCCCTCACCTAAGCAGTGATATTCGAACGAACGGGGCCCAAGACCGAGACACAGCGCTATGATCCAGGGCGAAAAACTGCTCCCAGGGAAGGAGCCCTAAGCCAAGGGGCCGCGAATCGAAATGACCGCAGCGCGACCCCAATTTTGAGAAAGCTTCCGAACCAAGCACGAGGAAGTCGGCAAGTAAGGGCGCAAGTGAGTGCGGAAGTACTAATGGACCGAATACCAATACCAAGGAACCAAGAAACCAAGACCACGGAACCAGGGAGCCAAGACAAAGGAACCAAGGAACCAAGACTGAGGAACCAAGGAACCATGACCAAGGATCCGAGGAACCAAGAGCAAGGAACCAGGGAACCAAAAACAAGGAACCGAGACTCAGGACCTAAGGAACGAAGGCGAAGAGACCCAGAAGCCATGACCATGGAACCAAGGAGCCGAGACCAAGGACACAAGGAGCCAAGACCTAGGGGAGCAAAAAAACAAGACCAGGGAAGCCAGGCAAGGCTTTATAAGGAAACAAAGCCGAGGAAACTCCTGGCAGGGACACGGGACCGAGGAACCTCGAGGGATCCCGGCGCGACCAGGTCCAGCATCCCAAGCATTTTTCTCAAACAAGAGCGAACCCCTAAGGTTAGGTCGGGCCTGTCTCCCTACAGGGGGATCTTGGACGAAAAATTTAAAATAGTCAAACAAATACTCAAGAACGCTCACAAACAGTCAAGAATCGTCCCCAGACCATTGCTCGACTATTCTCTAATACTCCTCCTGTAGGGGGGCATGCCCGACTTGTCCCCAAGGCAGAGCCGGTCTGGGGAAAAACGGGTGGTCGGACGTCTCAGCTCGCGACGCCGGCGTGGGCCCTGGAGGGGAGCACGCCAGCAGCGTGGGAGCCGTCGCCACGCCTCGACGAGCCTCCTCGGGCACGGCGAGCGGTCCTCGCAGCAGCGCGCGGAGCCCGGGGAGCGGGGGAGGGCAGGGGAAGGGGCGCCGGGCCCGCGGCCCGCAGAGTGCAGGAAGGTTCCGTCCCCGCCGGCCCTGGCAGCGCGGGGGGAGAGGCCCAAAGACCTTCCCTCGTGCTCTCACCGCGGCGCGAGGTGGTCCGGGCTCGGGGGCCAAAAACCCCGCCGACCCTGCCGGCGTGTGCGGGAAGGCATCTTCGCTTGAACCGTCGTCGTCGACGTCGCTCCCCGCTCGACCGCTTTTTCCGTTTGAGTTGTCGTCGTCGCCGCCGCCGCCGCTCCCTCTCTTTCCCTGGGCCCTCCTCAAGCGTTCCAGCCGAAGGGAAATCGAGCAACGTCGTAATCGAGTCGAAGGGAAGCCCTTCCCCTTGATCTTTCCCCCGCTGGCCAGGGGGGCGGGGGTCCCAGGTTGTGACTCCCCCCCGGGGGGGAACACCCCTCCCTGAGAGAAGCTTTCCCCTTCAATTTCTTGCCTCAAAGACGCCTCGAGCTCACTTGTACCACGGCTTGCTCAAACGGGGCCCTGAAACTAACAGCCCAAGAGCTCTCCGAGATGGCCTGAGGTACCACCAAGACGGCCTCAGAAGCCCCCAAGACGCCACAAGAGGGCTTTAAAAGGGCTCTAACAGGGCCCTAGGAGCCCCAAAAGGGCCCCAAGAAGCGAAAATCTACGATTGTCATTTAGTTGTTCTATGCTTTTCGCGCTCTCGCCTTGTCGGGCTTCCGACGCTCTAAGACGGCCCAGGAAGCCACAATAATTACCCCAAGACGCTCCAAGAGGCTACCGAAAGCACCCGAAAACGGCGCAAGACAGCCCCAAGACGGCCCCAAGACGGCTCCAAGACCGGCCAAGAGGTCCCCACGAGGGTCCGAAGAGGCCCCCAGGAGAGGGGGAGCACCAGCCAACATTTCCAGCCTTCCGCCCAAAGAGGCCCCCAGGGGGCCCCAAGAAGCGCCCAAGAAGCCCCGAAGACGCCCCAAGAGGCCAGAGAGAGAGCCCCAAGAGCACTCCGAATAGAACCCCAGAAGGACAAATTCCATCCCACTAAGCTGTGCCATGTGTTTCGTTGTCGCCGTCATCGCATTCGTGCCCCGTCCAGGTTGAGCGGCACCAGCCGTGAGGCCTTCGCAGTCTGATTATCGACGACGACGACGACGACGACGACGACGACGACGACGCCGGCGGCGGGCGGCCTGGTGCGGGCTCCTGCGAAGCCAGCCTCGCGCGGGGGGGCGGGGGGGGAGCCCGCGCCGCCCCGCGCGGAGGGGGGGGGGGGGGGGGAGCGCGAGGGAGGGTCCGAGGACGAGGGCGGGGCGCGGGAAGGGGGGGGGGGGAAGCTCGCGGGCGGAGGGGACGGGGGGGGGGAGGGGGGGGAGGGGGGCGGCCCTCCCCGTCCGCCCGCGGACCCGGACCGCGGACCTCCTCCTCCCCCTCCCGCCCGGAGAGGGGGGGAGGAGGGGGGAGGAGGTCCGCGGAAGGAGGGGAGGGGGTTCGCGGGCGGGGGACGAGACGGAGGGGAGAGGGGGAGGGGGGGGGAAGGGAGGGGGCAGGCGTAGGAGGGGAGCAGGTTCGCGAAATGAGGCGGACGGGGAGAAAGCCGATCGCAGAGGAGAATCGACGATCCAGGTGTTTCCCCCATGGGATTTTGCTAAATGGCTTCTTACTTGTTTGTGGGGGGAGGCCTGGCCGGACGGTAGTTGATTGGTGGTGTGTCTTTACTGTTGATCGGTACGGCTTCCTTTCTGTATATTCCTCGGGTTGCCTGGTCTTGATTCCTTCGTGTCTTTCTCAAACTAGGCTTTCTCTAATGGTGTCTCATCTGCTTGTGAAGAAGAGCCCGTGGGTGGGAGGCCTGTCCGGCTGGCGTTCTTCGGGGTTGCTTGGTCTTGCTTCTTTACTAACAGCTTCCTCGAGGTTGCTTGGTCTCGTTTCCTCCATATGCAGTCATCGGGTTGCTTGCTCTTGTTTCCGTACTGCAGTTTGATGAGGCCTTCCTCAGATTGCGTGAGTATAGTTTTGTCGTTTACTGTTTTTCCAACACCTTCCTCGGGTTACTGGGTCCTTCTCTCCGTGCTGTGTTGAAGAGGCCTTCCTGGGATTGTTTAGTCTTGATTCCGTACTGCGCTAGAAAAGCCCTTCCATACTGCGTTTGCAAAGACTCCCAGGGTTGCTTGCTCTCGTCTCCTTCCTGCGGGTTGCTAGGTCTTCTTTCCTTGCAATGCCAAGCAATGCCAAACTATGCAAAGGAACTCCTAGCAATGCCAAAACATGTCCAGCAATGCCAAGCATCACCAAGCAATGCCGAGCAACGCAAAGCAACGCAAAGCAACTCCAAGCAAGGCCAAGCAACGGCAAGCAACGCCAAGCAACGCCAAGCAACGCCAAGCAACGCCCAACAGTGCCAACCAATGCCAAGCAAACCAAGAAACGCCAAGAACGCAAAGCAACTCCAAACAATGCCAATTAACGCCAAGAAACACCAAGCAATGCCAAGCAACGCCAAGCAACGCCAACCAAAGCAAAGAGATGCGAAGTAAAGCAAAGCACTGCCTTCATCGCGTGATCATCTCCATGATGACATGTCCTCTAACGCTTTGCCGAATCGGTTCTCACTTGTTTGTGAAGAACCGGTGGGTGAGGGGCCTGGCCGGCTGGCGTTCGTCGGGGTTGCTTAGTCTTGCTCATTTGTGATACTCCTCGTGCGGTCCTCGGGGTGTTCGGTCATGGGTTATTCGCCTTCATGAAAAAGCCTTATGGGATTGCTTAGTCTTATTTCGTTAGCATTGTTGAAGAGGCCTTCCTCTGATTGCTTCGTCTTGTTTCCGCGCTGCGTGTTTTGACATTCGGGTTGCTAGGTCTTGTTCCCGTACTGCGTTTGAAAAGGAAACCCTTGGGTTGCTTGGTCTTGCTTCTTTCCTGC